TTAGACCTTTTTCTGGTTTTGGTGTACAAAATTAGCTTTAAAACGTCAAAAAGACAAGTAAGAATTTCGTTTTCTGTGATGGTGAAATTGTATATCATATCTTTATTTCCAAAACAAAATATTCTCTGTTCTTTTGGCTAAAAAGAAGTTGAAGAAGTTCCTTCTTTTGGGTCAATAATTTTGGCTAAAAATGCATGTAAAGTCTCCATTTTTGGGTCTCTTTGTTGGGAAATAGGATTTAGCTTTTTAGCAATTTTTCCAAGGAGCTGAATATGACTTTTTAACTAAACCCTACTCATTGTCATTTTGACCACATGACGAAATGAATCTTTGAATTGACTTAAATTTTGTGTTCGTTTGGGTCCAAAAGAAAAAAGAATTCTGTTCTGAAAACAAGAAAAACACTATAAAACCCAATAGAAAATAACTTCATTTAAGGAAGAAATAAATTAGTTTAACCAAACCAATTGTCAATAATATGATGTCAAAGCAGGAAAAGGACCAACAATTCTATTATCAAAGTTCTTGAAATCCACAAGAAGTACGAACTGTGGAATCATTCCCTTTTTTTTCAAAAAAAAATTCCCTTTCCTTCTGTGTCGTCTACGAAAGGGAGGAAGGGGGTCGAGCAGTTAAACGCCATTCTCTCAAAATCAGAGCATCGCATCAAGCCATTCCTCCTCCTGTTGCTGTCCTGATTATCTGGAAGAGCGCTGTTGAGTAAACAAAGATTAGTAACATTCATAATACCCTTTGAATACAAAATGGGGATAACACGGCAAGGATGAAAATATTCGTCACTACATATGCTAAGGTGGGTTCAACATAGATTTTCAAGATTAATACATCATCCTTGGAACACGACAAGTTTGCTTGTTGTTTTGCAATCAAGATCAAAAAGATGTCACAACCCTGTAAGACAGGTAATGAAGGTTGTTCCTAGGATGGTGAGGTAAATGTAATAAAACCATAGGACCTCCCTCGATAACTCATCCGCATATTGCAAGACAATGTGAATAAATTCCGTCTTTTGAGTTGACATAATCTAACATGTGAAGGACATAAGACTAAACTGGTATAGTCGAAGAATTAAACGGTAGCATACTTGTTCGGTTTTTCTTGGTTGAGTCCTCTTGCAATCATCTAGATTAATTTCACTACCGCCAACCTTATTACATTGGGTTGCCTAGTAAACTATTTGAAGTTTAGGAAGATAACCGGGGTAGCTTGAACCTATTTCCTCCTATATTAGGAGTGACAAATTGACATATCCACCACGGACAATTTTGCTCTCATTCAGTCAAAAATGTTTCGGTAGCATGGAAGCAAAATCACATCCCAAGGCCAGGAAACTCTACCCGGACAAAATTTTACAAGAAGCATGATCCAGATATGCAACAGAGAACGAAAACAAGACAAATGTTATGAGAGCTAGGATGGAATAAGGCTTACGGGACTGTCTCTAACGTGTGAGGGAAAGACTGGTAAAAAATTAGAGCTATGAGCTCAGAATACTGAGCTGGAAAAAGGGAAGGAGACGAATGTGAATGAAGGAATGGAGAATTGACGACTCTGAAAATGAATACTAAAAGAGCTTACCAGATGCACCATCAAACTCAGATAGCTCGACTAGGTGGAAAAAAACATAAAAAGTGTCCAAGTTAGATGAAAACTTGAACATCTTTCTTTAAGATACTATTTTGAATCTAAGACAAACTAAGGTTAATTCCCTTCTTTGTTCTTGACTCCACCCTATACCTCGAACCAAGGATGAAAATACCCATAAATCCGTAAATCAAAGGGTTCAACATTGATATTGAAGATTAATCAATATCTCTAATATCTTTTATAAATACGCATAAAAGATTATACATATTTAAATAGTAATATCAAGATGTATATATAAATTTTTAATCACAGAAATATTTGTGACTTTATCCATTTTAATCCTTGCCTCCAGAACTAGGAACTCGTATACTTGGTTTATATGAAGGTAGCCACAACTTAAGCTACAAACTATATATCAGATGAAGCAAAAACTTATATGATATAAACACAACAAAGGATTAGTCTTACATGATCCAATGACAACGAATATGAAGAATCCAAGCAGCAGGGGCCCAACAGGATAATCCTTCCCCTTCTTAACAGTCGTCTCTGGAACAGCTCCTCTCTTTGTGATATTCCTATCGAACTTCCCCACCTTTCGGTCTGCAAGACGCCTTGATGTTGTCTACAAAAGCCGAAGGCAACATTTACCAAGTATTGTTCAAAAAGGCAGATCAAAATATAAAAATTTAGGATACAGGGAATTTCAGCAGCACTAACAATTCAAAACAAAATGAAATCATTTTGTTAGCTCAATTATTTCCCCCCATTAAAAACTATAACCTAACCTAACCATATGTTGACCAAAAATCTTAGGATAAGATGGTCTAAATTACAAAATTGAGACTTGAGAAAACAACTATCAACTTAGATTAACACCCAAGAGGGAATACTTGTTTCCAATTATTCTTCTGCTAAGACTTAATTTTCACAAAACATAAGCTAGAATAAGGACATAAGATTAACGATTTGAACGTCCAAAATTTTACTTCACTATCACAAGTGTCCCCTCCAATTTTCTCCGGTCTGTTTTTGCTCTATTCTTATAAATATTCTCAATTAGGTTTCACGAAGAGTTCAGACCAATACTGACTACAAAATCCCTTTAAAAATTTCCCAATCAAAGGCTATCACTTGTTTCAAATTACTAATTCCTCATGATCTACATTGTCAAAAGACCACTAATACGAACATTTAATCCCTCAATTTCGGAATGAGATGCAATAAAAACCAATTAGCCAAAGGTCAAACAAAAAAAAAAAACCTATAATGGCAAAACAGATCATTGGACCGAATTCTCAACGAAGAAAACAGAAAAAAGGATCACAATCCACAAGAAAAAATTGCTTAGCGAAAGATTAAACGATCCAGTTAAGGAAAAACGATCGATATCACGAGTCAGTGATCAAAACCCTAGAACAAAAATCATCCGCACTTACAGATCTGAGAGCGAAACGAAACGGGGAAGAAAATTACCATGATTTTGGCAGGAAATTGAGTAGCCGGAGAGATTAGAAGAATTGCAGTGATCGATTCTCCTCCTGGCCGGCCGGCGAGTCTTCTCTCCGGTCACCGTTCTGATCCCAATCAATAGATTAATGGTCTGATCCTTCGGTGAGTAATTTTGAGATTTAAATAATTTGACTTAATGGCCATCATTGATACGGTCCCGCATTTTGCGTCACCGTCAGACGATTATTGGGCGCCGCCACGTTTTATGATATACGTGGCTCTTTCTTATTGGATGTTTGGGCAACGCCCACGTAACGTTTTTTGTAACATTATTTTTCACAAAAGAATAGGAAATTTGGATAAATATATAAATATGTAATTCGTGGGCCTAGGAATGAAGTTTCGGCCCACAGTCACATGCTCATTTCCTGGACAAGCCCAATTTGCATCAGCCCAAATAGAACGCAATTAAGATAGTTAAAAGCTAAAAAAGACCATATATGCGATCTGTGAGCTTGAGCTATTACAAAAACTATATTAGAGCCAGACATCAAGCGATGTGTCAGTAATTAGACTGAATCCTAAAGTAGGATGAACACGAGCAATATTCAAAATGGTTTGGTTATATTTAATTATGTAAAAAATAATAAAATAATTCTTTTATTTATTCTCTAAAAAAATAGGGTTTGGCAGCTTCCCAACATATTTAATTGTTTTAAAAACATTTATTAAAAAAGAAAAATAACAAATGGGTAATATAAAAATTGATTAATAAAAAGAAAAGGAAATTCCAACAAAAAAAAAAAGGTCAAATTCAAATGGGTAAGTGCTATCCCATAATCTTTTCCCACTTCAACCACTCTTTCTCTCTCTCTCATTTTTTTTATATTTATTAATTAATCCTTACACTTTTAAAATTTTCATTTTAATCCCTATATTTCAGACTAAATAATACTAATTATAGATATTAATAATTTTATTTAGCAATGGATAGAAGGACACCAAAATTACTTTTAGTTATATATATATATTTAAAAAAGACAAAATGAGATAAGTAGGCTTAAATAATTTAATTAATTAATCAATAATAAATTTTAAAAAGAAAAATTCATTTGATACATCAATAATAATTAATATTTTATCCACTCGAGCTATACTCAAATTGATTTATATTTTAATATAAATATAAAAATAAATAAACTAAAATAATCATTGAATATTCAAAAGCTATGGAATTTGGGCTCTATTTTTTTAAATGTCAAGTCCTTAATTAATTAAATATTTGATTATTTGTCAATTTTTTTTATATTAAATAATGACTTGTTTGGAAATTCATCAGTGTTATAAAATAATTAATATGACAAATTTCATAATTTTTTTTTTTTTTTTTTTTTCTGGTTGAAGTCTACCTAACCTCCGCCTTTGCCGACCTAATAATAATTAATAAATAACTAAATAAATAAATATTTCTAAAATTTAAAATATTATAATCCAATTTTCTAAAGTTTTTAAAGTTTTTAAAGTAATGTGTCTAATGTTTATTAATTTGTTTATATGGAAGCATGACCCTTCAAATTAAATATTCTCCTTAATTTCATTTTTCTCTCCTACATTTATAGGCTTATTTTATTTTATCTTTGTGTTCCTTTTATGTATATTTCAATAAAATAAAATAAAATTTGAAACACATTTATTTTGGTCGTTAATATTATTCTAATGAACTTTGAACGAGAGCGATCTTAACAATCGAATGATTAAGAAATATTTAAAATAAATGTTATGACTTTGATGTCATTTGTAACACTACAAACCCACTGCTAGTAGATATTGTCTGTTTTGGCTTTTGTTACGTATCGTCATCAGTCTCACGATTTTTAAAATACTTATCCGGGAGAGATGTTTCCACACTCTTATAAGGAATGCTTCATTCTCCTTTCCACCCGATGTGAGATCTCACAATCCACCTTTATTGGGGGCCAACATTCTCGTTCGCACACCGCCTGGTGTCCGACTCTGATACCATTTATAATGGCCCAAACTCACCGCTAGCAGATGTTATCTGCTTTGGCCCATTACGTATGACTATCAACCTTACCGTTTTTAAACATATCTACTAGGGAGAGGTTTCTACATGAATGCTTTGTTCCCTTCTCTAACCAATGCGAGATCTAACAATCCATCCCCCCTATTCGGGGCCTAGCATCCTCATTGGCACACTGCTTGGTGGCAAGCTCTAGACATTGCCCACTTTGGCTCGTTATGTATCGTCATCAACCTCACGATTTTAAAACATGTATGCTAGAGAGAGGTTTCTACATGTTTATAAGAAATGCTTCGTTTTTCTCTCCAACCGATGTGGGATCTCACAAGCATGCTTTACTTGGAGCAATTTTTTATTGGGCGACCTTCTAGAAATTTTTCTGAGATGCAGATAAGTTAGAACAAAACATATTAGAAAGACTCGTGTTGGTCTGTAGAAATAATCTTCACTCTTAAGAATCAGAGAGTAGGTAACATAACATGGTTTAAATCAAATCATTAAATACTATTGAATAGTATACTAGAAACACATCAAATTATAGTATTATAGTAATGTGATGTCCCACATTGGTTGAAGAGGAGAACAAACCACCATTTATAAGGGTGTGGAAGCCTTCCCTACCCTATCAGACGTGTTTTAAAGCCTTGAGGGAAAGTCCAAAGAGGACAATATCTGCTAGCGGTGGATCTAGGCCGTTACAAGTAAGATTACATTTCGTCTGTAGCATGAGCTCAAGAACAAACACATACATTGGGATATTTGATTCCACCATACATATTAAGTTCGACGAATCAAGCTATATTTTGAAAAGTCTTTGTTTTTCCTTTTTTATTTCTATCTAATTTCTTTTTGAGTCATTCACGGGTAAACCAAATAAAATAAAGGAATAAATCTATTACTTTGAAAAGTAATTTTTTTTTAAAAGTGGATTAACCTAAATATAAAGTAAAAGAGAAGTTAATAGGATTAATATTCGATTAGGTATAGTAAGAAATTAAGGCAGTAAAATCATGTTGTTAATATTTTATGGTAAAATAAATGAGAGAATTTATTAAAGAAAGATATTATAACAAAAATGTGTACAGCGGAGCCGACAAGGTTGTCCAAGTCGGCGGTACACGTGGGACAGGGATGCTCTCCCTTCCAATTTATTAATAAATAGTTTAATGCTTTGTTCATTCGGAATATGCCACGTGTCAGATAGACCATAGTTTATGACACGTAGGATGATATTATTGGTTCGAGTTGTGAGAACCGGTGCGCTGACGTGGAGTGTCTCTGTCAGAACAGCTCCCATCAGGCGGGCCCCACGGAACCACCACAATTAAATAGTTTTCTTAGGAAAAAAAAGAAAAAGGAAATTAAACAGAGAAGTGGGTAATGGGAACAATACCCCTGGCTATATTTTCCCCTTGCTTTTCACTTTAATTACCATTTTGCCACTTATATGATTTGATCAAATAATAAATATAAAATTTTAACTTTTTCCAAAATTACAACTTTACCCTTTTAGAAACTAAGATTGGTTGGGAAGATATTTTTTTCATTGCCAAATATGATATCACTATTTAACTTAAACTCATTTCCTAGATTGTTTTGGATGGCGGGTGGAACCGTCTAATAATGTTTTTTTGGGCTTTTTCTTTCGGTCTTCCTTTTAAGGTTTTTAAAATACATCGACTAATCTCTTCCTTAATCGATGTGTGATTTCACAACTCACCCCTTTGGAGTCCAGCGTGTTCGTTGGCACTTGTTCCCTTCTCCAATTGATGTGGGACCTCCAATCTACCCCCTTTAGGGCCCAACGTCCTTACTAGCACACTGCTTTGAGTCCAACCCCTTCAAGCTCAACCTCATCGTTGGCACACTGCCTCGTGTCCACCCCCTTCGAGCTCAGCCTTTTCGCTGGCACATCGCCTTATGTTTGGTTCTGATACCATTTGTAACGGCCCAAATCCATTGCTAGCATATGTTGTCATATTTTGGCTTACCCTTTCGGGCTTCAGAAGACTAGCAAACGGATTTTAAAACTTGAAGAGAAGTCCGAAAAAGACAATATCTAATAGCAGTGGACCTAGGACGAGAAAAAGGGGAGGGGGAAGAGATAGGAGGAGGGTTATTGAGTAAATAAGAGTGGGAAGGAAGGGCAGTTTTGTCCTAAAAAATAAGAGGGTTGGAAGGAGGAGTTAGCGTGTAGAAATGTGCATGGTGGGGGGATGTGGTATGAATAGATGAAATGGATAAGGAAGGATATGGAGAAAGAAGCAAAGTTAGAGATAGAGACAGAGAGAAGCACTAATTTGCTTGATGAGTGGGACTGCGCCCTTTTTTTCTACTCTTTACCGCATCATCATAATTTTCATTTCCTTTCATCATCATATGAGTTCATTCTTTGTTCTTCTTCTTCTTCCTCTGCCAGCAGCTTTAGATCTTTGCAGCTTGGCTTTCTCAAAGCTCATTGTGTTTTTGTTCTTATTTTAACAACTGGGTTTTGTTTTTCAAATCCCAGTTCTTAAACTAAGTTTGGGGGAATCCTTAGGGGAGCTCTGTTCGGACCAATTCCATGTTCTGGGTTTTGGTCAAATTCTGTTTTTGTGTGTAGGTATATGAATTTCTTATCCCAAATCAACCCAAATTCTGGGTGGATATCGAAGCATCTCTCTTCTCTCTCTAAAACTCGTAGCTGATTTTAACAAAGAGGCCAGACCCATCTCAGGCTGCTCATGGTTTTAGCTTGATTTTCAATGAACTGGTTCATTAATGAAGTTATGGAAGCCAAGGTTGGTTTGGTATGGGTCCAGTTTTGGGAGAAGCTCATTGGAAAGTGCTGCAAGATGCATCACCAGTACTATCAGTATATTGGATCCCAGAAAGCTAGAAACACTTGGTGGAGAAGGGTTTTGGTGGCCTGGGTTCTTTGTTCTGTGTTTGGTTCTTTGTGGATCTTCCATTACATGAGCTCTCAAGCTACAGAGAAGAGGAAAGAGGGGTTGGGAAGCATGTGTGATGAGCGGGCTCGGATGCTTCAAGATCAGTTCAATGTCAGTATGAACCATATCCAAGCAATGTCCATACTCATCTCCACCTTCCATCATGCCAAGAATCCTTCTGCTATAGATCAGGTATTCAATTGTGTTGTTTTCATCATAATCCTTGTTTTTCTACTGCTTTTTCTTGTTCATGTATGGTTGTGTATGAAATTTGAAGTTATCTATGTTATGAACACACCTTGGCTTTGTGTTTGAAGTGCTTTTTCATGGAATCGAAGTGTTCTGGTAATGTCGTAGGTCCACCGCTAGCACATATTATCCTATTAGGGAGAGGTTTCGACTTGGGATCTCACAATTCGTTTGGAGTAGTAGTCTCTATTAGTCACTAACTTTGATACATATAGAGGACATTTGCGAGGTACACGGAACGAACTGCGTTCGAGAGGCCTCTTACCAGTGGTGTAGCGTATGCGGTAAGGGTGCTCCATTCGGAACGAGAGCGTTTCGAGAAGCAGCAGGGGTGGACAATTAAAAGGATGGATAAAATTGAACAAAGTCCGGTTCATGAAGATGACTATGCTCCAGAAGACCTGGAGCCATCGCCGACCCAAGACGAATATGCTCCCGTTATCTTCGCACAGGATACGATTTCTCATGTCGTTTCTCTTGATATGCTGTCGGGAAAGGTTAGATACTTTCTTATCTTTTGGAACCTTGTCTTGTCAATGAGATTCCTGTTATGTTGTGAGTACTTTACTTGGATCTGATACTTTCAGTGGTTCGGCTGCCTGGTTTTGATAAGACTCGTACATTTTCGGAATGTTCTTAAAAGTTTCGAGCTTCGAACATGTGATGTTCTACTTAAAAGTTTTGAGCATAAGATTTAATATTGAATTATTTGCATCACCAGGAAGACAGGAAGAACGTTTTACGAGCTAGAGCATCGGGAAAGGGAGTGTTAACAGCTCCATTCAAATTGATCAAAACAAATCGCCTCGGAGTCATACTTACGTTTGCTGTCTACAAGAGAGATCTTCCCTCGAATGCCACTCCAAACGAGAGGATTCAAGCTACAGATGGGTATGTCTTTCTTTGTGATGATCGAACTCGATACGTCTAGTTCTTAACGAAATCCGAATGGAACTTAAACTAAACATTTGTCAAACAGATATCTTGGTGGAGTTTTTGATATCGAGTCGCTTGTGGAGAAGCTACTTCAACAGCTTGCAAGCAACCAAACCATCCTAGTGAATGTTTATGATACTACGAACCAATCACACCCGATCAGTATGTACGGTAAAGACGTATCAGAAGACGGGTTGCAGCATGTTAGCCCGCTTAACTTTGGGGATCCAGATAGGAAGCACGAGATGCGATGCAGGTAATTACATCTCCATTTCGACGTAACAAGTTCAATCAAGTAATGTACTGCAGAATGGTAATTCTAAGTTTGTGACACAGATTCAAACAAAAACAACCATGGCCGTGGTTAGCAATATCAACTTCAATTGGCATACTCATTATTGCATTGCTTTTGGGGTATATATTTCACGCAACCTTGAACCGTATCATGAAAGTGGAGGACGATTATCACGAGATGATGGAACTCAAGAAACGGGCAGAAGCTGCCGATGTTGCGAAATCTCAGGTATGTGGACACTTTGATTAGTCTCGACATTCGTCTACGAATTGAGCCTCAAGAATTCTTCAACCCTTTGTAGTTCCTTGCAACCGTGTCTCATGAGATCAGATCCCCAATGAACGGCGTTCTAGGTGAGAATTTAGTTCGTTCTACGACGAAATTCTTCGAATTATACTATGTTCGAGTAATATCAAACCGATTTCTTTGGATATTTCAGGGATGTTGGATTTGCTTATGGACACAGGCTTGGATTTCACTCAACAAGATTTTGTTAGAAGTGTACAAGATAGTGGGAAGGCTTTGGTGTCATTGGTAAATGAGGTTTTGGATCAGGCAAAGATTGAATCTGGAAAGCTTGAGCTTGAAGCCATTCCATTCAATCTGCAAGCAATTTTGGATGATATTTTGTCACTTTTTTCTGGGAAATCTCAAGAGAAAGGATTGGAGGTAATA